TTTCCCTTTACTCGTATTTATTTTCCTCTATAACAACTAAAACGTTCAGAGTTTTTTCCTCCTAATTAAAAAGGAAGCATAATTTATCAATAGCTTAGACACTTCATTACAAGAGAGTTAAGGGAGTTTTTAGAATGAACATTTCTAGCGTGGGTAATCTGAAAAACAAGAATTTATAGCTCAGCAATAAATAAATAAATAAATCTTTCAGAAATGTTTATTGTTCCAGCTCATTAAAATGTTATGTCTTTTGGACAGTATTTCTTAAAGACCATAAAATTAATAGTGTATTTTAAAAGTTTTATTGGCACGTATTTCCTAAGTCCAATTTAGCCCTAATGTTTAATTGTGCTGTCTCATACAGCCTGAAAGTCTGGCAGTTAATATTATTTTTCTGTTTTAAAAGAAAAACATTTTCCTTCAGGGCTAGCTTCCATATTTTTGAATGTGTTTATTTCACACTGCCTTGCATTTTCATGTGCTGAAATCTTGAAACTCTGTCAGAGCTAATCTGGATCTGGTATTTCTTTGTGTCTTAAAATTATGCTGAAATTTCAATTAATAACTAATCATGCTCTTGGCCTGGGAGAATGCATGAGATGAAAATCCTGCCTATCAGCTACCGGAGTTTAATTTTAAATCTTTCATTACATAAAGCGAGGGCAGCAATAAACATTTATTGAGTACCTGCAATACACTAGGCATTGCATGGACTATAGAAGATTATAAGGTACCATGCATGTCCTCAAATATAGAAGAATTCTAACCTATTCATTGTGCCTGCTATAAATGCACTTCATAGCAAACAAATTTCTTTACCTCTTCAGGGAACTTGCCTTCCACCTACTAGTCCTATTTAAAATTTACACAATAAGAATACCTCTTCCCTTTTAGTCTTCCTAAGTGAAGTCGCTTTTTCTCAGGGCTCCGAAACCACAGACAGATGTTCAGAGTTAACATTCACAGAAAAATTTCAGACTTCTTAGAGGCATAACACTTAGATGGCCTGTCTTCTCTTCATCCTTTTGTCTTTGCTAGATCTCTTTCATAACACTGCTTGAAGACTTGTGCTCAAGCTCAGCTGCCTTTTTCATCCACCCCATTTCCTGGAGTCATCCTGAGCGTGTTTGGTGTCTGCTGAAATGTTCTTCCATTACCTTTACATCCTCAGTCCTAAAGCCCTCCACCCAGTCCTGAAGATTTTGCCTTTCTTTTCCTTTTTTGGAAGTATTCTGCTACCTGCTGGTGATGTCTTTCTGTTATGCATTCCTCTCCATTCCATCTTTTTCACAGGTAATAAAGTTATCTTGTTAAACATAAATCTTTTTGGACTCTTCCCAACTTTGACCTTTTTAATGGTAGTTTCCTTTTACCTAGAGCAGGGTTTCTCACCTTTACCCTATTGTGGCACATGTTGAAAAGGTGATTAAGGTTCCATAGTGTAATGGTGAGCACTCTGGACTCTGAAAAGGTGATTAATATGCAGAGGTAAATCAGGGGGCTAACTTGGACTTGGAGGTGACCAGCCAGAGGCGCCATGCTGATATATGCTCTGCCTCAAGCCTCCGGTTCACCTTAAGTACATTCACTGGGTCATCTCCATGTGGAGACTAAAGCCCAAACTCCTTAGATTCAGAGTCTTACTTAGTAGGATCCTCCCCTGCCCCTTCCCTCCAGAAATGGAGCCTGGAACAAGAACTTGAATATAGTTAGTTTGGAAGCAGAAGCCAGGGATTAGATGATGTGAAGACAAGAAGAAATACCCTTGGAATGACTCAGTCACAGTTCTGCTGAGGGCCCTCTGAGAGTTGTTCCAGAGGACAACAGGGAAGCAAGACGTTTTACCACAGACCCTTGTCTCCCATGGATGGGGGCATTGCCCTCAGGGCCAGACTCTGCATTTCCAGGCTGCATCTGTTGCAAAGAAAACCCTAGAGTGTTACAGGTGTGGGTGGGACAAATGCCCTGAAAAGCATTGCCCCATCTTGTCTATACTTATGCAGGCTAGATACAGATTCACCAATGTCCAGTCCAGTCTACTTCTCTACCACTCAGACCTTGTGCTTCATGTTAAGTTCCCTCTGACTAGTTCTGTAAAGAGTGGCTGGTATAGTATTTTAGAAAGGAAAAAAAAAAAAAAAACAACCAGACTTCTGACCAGGGACTTAGTGGACTAGCTACACATACTGCTAGTCTCAAGCTGGTCTTAAGGCTGTGATTGAAGTTCATTTCCCTTCTCTGTCACCCATTTCTGAATTTCCTCACACCCAGTGGAATTCTGCTAGTTTGCCTGGTGAAGTCACCCAGACTGTCATCCCTGAAGAGTCTGAGCCTTTGGCTCCCTTAACATTTCTGGCTGTCATTGCTGTAATCCATGTTCACTTGTTACCAAGTGATATAGAAACACCAAGATATAGAAACACCAAGATATAGAAACACCAAGAGAGGTCCTAATGAATCTCCAGTGTTCCCTACATCCTTCACTCTGCCTCTGTCCTATGGCAACAATCCTCTTTCCTCATGACACGTTGGTGCTGATTATCCCACCTGTCCGGTAACTCCTCTCTTTGCCTACTGACCCACCAGCATGAGAGACACAGAGGAACCAGGCAGAGCTTTAGCTCCAGTGGCGCCCTCACCATGTCCAATAGTGCAGTGATTGTCACTTGGGGATGATTTTGCCTCAAAGGCACATTTGGTAATGTTTGAGGACATTTACAATTGTCACATTTGGGAAGGGGGGGTTGCTACTGCATCTAGTGCATAGAGGCCAGGGATGCTGGTCAACAACCTACAATATTCAGACAGCTGCCACAATAAAGAAGTATTTGGACTCAAGTGACAATAGTGCCAAGTCTGTGAGACCTTGCCCTAGAAAAAATGATGTTCTCCTAGGGACATGTACTTTTAAAAAAAAAATTCAATTTTTTTGGGGGGGGACATGGACTTTTAATCTCACATGGTCTGGAACTGTGGGCACCAAAAGTACACAGTCTGCCAGTGGTTTCCTGTGAGAGATAGTATGAAGATTCACTCATCCCATCCCTTGGTTTCCAGGGCCATGTGTTCTACTGGGGACACAGGACCAAATGTCATCCATTGGTTCAGTGTGTATACTGCATTCCAGATAGTCCTAGAATTGTCCAATCAGAAGATAAGAAGGGTGGGGCACTTAATCCATTCAGATCAAAGGTCTGTGTTGGACACTGCCGTGGGATACTGGCATGGTGATATAACTGCATTACAGTTGTACTGAACCCAGGCGGGCGGAAGAGACATACAGGGACCACAAGCATCTGCTATATGTAGAATATATTCACTATAAGGGCAGGAGCTTTTTCTTCAGTGCAATTGTATACACATGCCGGGTACATGGGTTCATATGAGTAGCTTAATAAGTGTCTTGAATAAAGATGAAATAGCTGAGTGAGTAAACAGTGATTCAATGAATGAACAAAGTCTCGCCTGACATTTTCCAAGTGTATTGAATATTTTAGCATGGTTATCCATATCTTCTTAGATGCAGGAAACCTAGAATGTCCACTCTGCAGCTTCCCTGTCCATGTCATGGCAGCATTCAGCATACCTTGTGTTTTTTCACAGCGTCTCTCTTCTGAATTTGATCTACCATTATCCAGTTTAGAGTGGTTGGTATAATACTGACTTTCAGTTTCAGTGTTCTCCTTTGCTCCTGAATGGTGGTTCAGCTGACATGTTCATGAAGGCGTTGAGTGACATTTTAAGAGAAGAGTAGTATTTCTGTGGTGAAGATGGAGTGTGGAAAAGACCATAGACAGAAACATGGGGATGAGAAATCTCAGGTAGCAGTGACAATTAAAGATTAGGACACATGAAGCGTATATATGGGAATAAGAGAAAGTCTTTGAAAATGTAATTGGAGCCAGGCCATTGACCAGCAGGTTAAAGCACCTCACACCTTCATACCTGGTCCAGTTCCTGGTTGTCTGTGATGTCCTGCCTCTGCAATAAAGCTCCTAATCTCTGCAGTACACTACATGCTTTATCTCTAAAGCCATTCTGTCCAAATCCTATCTTGCAGGACCTGGCTTCGCCTCTGGTATCAAGTTCTTCCTCACCACTCATGTCCATCTAGATATCATCCTCCAGCTTTTATTTTTTGCACTTCTTAATTCCCATTCACCCAATGTTTGACACTGTGTTATCTTCATTCCTCAATGATATAAGCAACCAGTCAAGGTCAAGGCCAATTCTTTTATCTCCAATGTCAGCAAGCAGACTACATGCACATAGAAGGTGCAATAAATAATTGGAAAGTTAAAAGCATCCAATTTGATGATGCTTATCTGAATCTCTTCTACATGTGAATTTTAAAAAAATTAGTATGTTTAAAGAAAGAGGTTAATAGCATGCAATTGCACATATTTACACTTTACCATTTACCTGGGTTTTTTTTGTGTGTGTATGTGTGCACCCAAATTGGAAAGAAGTGTGAGGGGGGTTGTATGACAGTGTGGGTGTATTTGCCTTAATATTTTAGAACTTTTTCTTGTCTAAACTTCAGCCAGAGAAAAAAATCCAAGTGATCAGACTGGATTTCTTTAGCTTTCACAAATTTTAGAAAATTTAATTTATAAAAGATAATAGAAAAAAATAAATATAATAAAAGATAATAGAAAGGTATAAACATAGTGATTAAGGTGGTACCACTTAGGACGTAGTAAAATGATAAAGATGTAAAACTGTTTTGATGAAATCCCATGCATTTGTTTTCCTCACTACCAATAATGGGAATGCCTAGTAAAGATTTCCTTTAAATTGTTATATTTGTGTCATTATAGTAGTCACTGTAAAGTGCAGTTTTTCTACTAGGAAATTCACCTTCTGCTAGGCTCCTTTTCTTCCTTTCTCCTACCCCACACTTTCTCTCTCATGCACACACCCTGTTTTCTCTTCTTTCCTGCATACTTTTGCTTTGAATTATCCTTGATGGATCTTGTTTTTTTCCGTTTATTTCCTAGATGGGAAGCGATGGAATTTTACGCCTGAGTTCTTCAGCACTAAATAATGAATTCTTTGCATATGCAGCTCAAGGATGGAAACAGCGACTGGCAGAAGGTAAATTTCTCTTTTCCATTATTCTTTGGCATATCTGAATACACACATTGTACTGAGCCTTGCACCTTTCTCTGATTTCTGAGTCTTTTTCTCTCCCTGACGTATACTTTAATGTAGTAAAAACTCTTATTCTATTCCAAATGACTTCACTAAGTCTTTGTTATACTTGGCATTTTTGAAGGAAGCATAATATTATCTGGAACATAATAAAAAAAATTTTGATGTAGCTAGATTTTCTTTGGAATGGTAATTTTAATCACTTACTTGAGGCACTATGTATTCTCTTAATGTCCTAGAGCTTGAATAGTCTTCTTTTAATACTCTCTTCCCCTAAAGCCACCACTTTACCTTATTCTTCCTTTAGTCACCATGCTTCCCGAAAGAACAAAAATAACCAATGGTACTATCATTTTACTGCCTTACTCACTCAAATTGTAATGATCGTGTGTAACCCTACTTACTATACACAACTGAAATAATGCCTCCTTGAGAATATTAATGACTTTTTAATGGCAAAGCCCAGTTTCCTCTTCTTAGTCCTTAAATTTCAGGCTCCTTCTGCAATATCCTTTTTTTTTTAACCTCGTCCAATTTGAAACGAAACGATCTACCTGAGACATTCACAGTATATTTTAAATTGTTTCCTGTGGCTGCATTGCTGATAGCCATTCCTCAGTTTCCTTCTAGAGCTTCTTTTCTTCCATCTAATGATACATGATGATGTCTCCACCATTCTCTTGGGTACCTTCTCCTGTAGCTGTGCACATTCTCAAAGCAGCCTCTTTCACCTTCTTGGTAGTCCATATGCCAAAAACTTCCATATTGGCTCTAACTCCTTTTTCCTAATTCCATGTTCTGTACCAAATGCCTGTTGGATCTCCCTAGCTGATATCAAGCACCTGAAAACTATAATGTCAATATTAACCTCACTTTCTTTTACTGTCTGCCATCCCTTCTGCCCCCTATTTGTTAATGTCACCGCTGTCCACAGAGCTCCTCACTTTGAAACTTGATGATCCCTCTGGTCCTCTTCCTTCTCCTGATCTGGTCATGAATTGTCAGTTGTGCTGTGAATCTGATTCCCCTTGAACATTCCCACAGCTGCTGGCCTGACTCTACTCTTCCTTTCTCATCTGTCCCATTCAGTGGCCTCCTGGCTGGAGTCCCTCCACTTCATCTTGTTTCTAAGCCAGTTGTTTGGCCACATTCCTCCCTGAGTGAATGCTGTCAGGACCTCCCTCAGTCTCTTGTAGAAAAAAATTAAAACTCTCTTTAAACCATGTATTTGTTAATTGGCCTCAGCCTACCTTTCCCATTTCATTTCATCCTACTCCTGTGTTCCCACAATTGGCCACTCAAAAGAACATAAATATACATATTCATATCTCTGTGCCTTGTGAGTTAATTACTTTATAAAAGCTTAGTCATCCTTCAAAAGCTAACTCAAGAACCATTTCCTGTATGTGGCCTTCCTAATCGATTCAGGCAGAATTAAGTGCCTTTGCTTCTGTACTTTCACTGTCTTTATTCCTACAGCCCATACAGGGCTTTCAGCATTATATTATAGTCAATTGTGTGCCTTTTCTCCCACCAGACTGATTTCATTAAGGACACTGAATATATGCCATTTCATTCACAGCCCCTAGCACACAGTATATTTGCTGAGGGTTTTAAAGTTCACCTATGACTAAATGACTGTTTGAGCCATGTTCATAAAAAGAGAGGCTGTAGAAATGTTGTCAGTACTCTATGTTTTACTTTTCAACATCCATAAAAGCTTACTCAAATTAATTACATGTTTTCTTTATTAATCGGCAAAAGAGATGACCACTTTGACTCAATATATAAGCATTTGCTTTCTAGGAGAATTTACTCCAGAAATGCAGTTGCGGATAAGGCAAGAAATTGAGAAGGAAAAGAAAACAGAACCTTGGAAAGAAAAATTCTTTGAAAGGTTTTATGGAGAAAAGTAAGTACTAGAGCATTTTTTCCTCATTTCTCTCAGAAGGAAATGAAAATGTAATTCTCTGCTTCACATAGCACACTCATATGCTGTAAAACTTAATAAACCTGCGATAAAAGGCAATAGTCCCACAGTGTAAGAAATTGCAGGTAAAATTATAGTGGCATATCAGCACTTAAATTTTTAAAAAATGTGCTTTCAAGGGTTTATAACTTGTCCATGAAAATTCATTTTGGCCTGAAAATAGCACCTGAAATCCTATAGAAGTCAATTATGGCTTTCTTAACTAGATTTTAGTAAAAAATCTCCTGTTTTTAATCCAAGTATGTTCATTAACGAATACTTTAGAGCTAAGTAGTTTTAGACACACTTAAGTTTCACATTTTTCTGATGTTGACTGTGCATATACATGTGTTTGGAGAAGGTCCTGAAGTATTACTCTTTATCTATCTTCCTCTCCGAGTGTAACTGGTTTTTATTATTTCTCTTTTTATGTGTTTCTCTTTAAAATAATACTGGCCACACTTAAGCTTGGCAGCAACTGAATTAAATTGAAAGTAGTTTAGCTTTTGCCTCACATTTAGAAGGGACATATCATACTTGAGCAGAATTAGAGTCTCAGAGACTAGCAGATCCCTAAGGAAGAAGGAAGTCACTGACAATTGACAGTGACTTTAGATCCTCCTTAGAAAGGAATTTGTGCTTGAACTCCCAGGTACATAATTCATGCCTGAAAGTCGTTTTGTGTAGATGTCACTGACGTGGTTGTAGGTAACAAAATCTGTACCAATTGATCTCATTTCATAAAATTTCCCCCTGTAAACAGAGAAAACAATATCAGGAGTCTCATATGAGTACTCTTGAAAAGGAACTACGTGATTAACAGCCTGCTTAGAGTAGGCTAGCATTTGGTGGAGTGTCCTAAATAGCAGTACTCTCAAGTGGGAGGGCTTGTTTTCATTGCTATCCTAGGACCGTGGATGCCTATACATATTTAAGAAAACTTACAGGAGATAATTAATGTGTTTTCTCAAAAATTAAAATGCAGCAGGCTCCTTATATACCTTCAGATATTGTCACCAGCAGTATTACTCAAGCCTGGCTACATCAAAATCCTCACTGGAGCTTTTAAAAATAGATACAGATTTCCAGGACCCATGCCAGACATACTGATTGGGAATGTCCAGTAGTTGAGCCCAGAAATATGCATTTTTAGATGGTCTCTAGGTCATGCTGATGCCCAGCAGGATTAAGAACCTGGAGGATGATATTTCTGACAAAGGGAATGTTGGGAGCACTGTTTTCAGTGCTGGCAAAGGTACAACTGAGCTAGTTACCTCCAGTGCACTGGTCCTTAGTTGTGGTTGACTGTGGGCACTTTTTTTTTTAATTCAGCAAAATTGATTCAGTATCTCATCTAGATGCCAGAGGTGCACATGTTCACAGGGCTTCTTAGGCTCTGCCCTCAGAGAGCCTGTACCCTAGAGACTATGCATGACAGAGGTCTTCCCCCCATTCAGCATGTTGTGATTGAGCGTACCTGGCTCTGATATGTGTCTAAGAGCTTTGCAAGTATTATTTCACTAACCTACCCAACTGTCCTGTAAGATGGACACCGTTATTACTTTTACATTAAAAAAAGGGTTTAGGAAACTGAGATACAGTGAAACTGAGTAATTTTTCCAGGTTTACACAGTGTGGTTAAATGATTTGCTCAGTCACCTAATGCCACAATTCCTTCTCAGAAAAATTCACAAATACAATTTTTTTACATAAAATTTGAGGGCTTCTAGACATCCATGCCTCTCAGGTTAAGGGCCCCTGCCCTGGAAGGTAACAGCTACAATCCTGTGAATAAGCATGATTCCCCATTACGTAACCTCCCTGAGGGCTGAATACAAACAGTTCTCTCTTTTTTTGACCCTTTTCTTGCTGTAGTTTATCTATAGAGTTTCTGTCCCCTTATGTCACTGGTCTTTGTCTCTTTCTGTCTTCGATTACATACTGGATGACAGAGATATTTTGGACATTTCATTGAGTGCTCTTCTAATGTTGTTATTTCTAGATTACTTGGCTCCAGTGTATGAAGGATTATGTTTCATAGCGTCAGATAATTTTCAGTTGACAAGTGTCTTTTTACTGCTCTAAGTTTTCCCAAGAATGTTGCCATCCAAACTCCCCTGTTTTTAAGAGTTGTCTACTTTAGTTTTTAGCTATTTGTTTGAGGTCTTTATTATGGTTCTTATTGACTTACTCTGCTTATAACATAGTACTGTTCTATATTTGCTTTGGTTACTTAGAGATCACCCATAGGGATGCTAACTCAGTTATAGGGGTTGGTCTGTTGGTTTACAGTCTAGATTTCTGAACTTAACTGTTTTCCTTTGTGGTGGTGCTCGCTTCGGCAGCACATATACTAAAAATGTTTTCCTTTGTGGTGTTATGTGGTGTGCTGTGAAAATCAACCTATGCCCTATGCCATCTTAAATCTATTTTTTAATGAAAATAATAAAATGTCAACATAAGCATATTTTGTGCAGTGCTATTGTCCATATATACATATCTATTATATACATATACACACATATGTATAATATATATTACATACATTTGTTATATTTAATGATATTAAATATATTTAATATGAATTAATAATAATAAATTTATTAGATCCTTATTAACCAACCAGCAGAAATTTGGCTGCCAGTGGATAGGTACTGTATATTCTACACTTAACCTACTATCAGTGGCATCTCTGCTTGGCCGAGCCCCATATTTCTAGTTGATTATTTTGCTTTAAGTTTATCTGTAATGTAGTTATTCTGTTCCTCTCAGTGTAGATAGTTATAAATTGTAGCTTTGTTTGAACCCATCTTAGGGAAAGTTGAAAGAAAAGAGACTAATAATGAGGGGGAGTATCTTCTATCTTCTTTTTAGAATCTTCTGAATGTTAGTAAAGAAGTCAATGAATGCAATCCAAAAAATGTATCCAGTTTTATTTCCCTTTCATTTTGAGAATTTAAGCAAAAGGTTGAAGGTTTCACTGAGATATTTTCCTGCATCAATACTATTTTAGCTATATTTCTTCAGTCAAATATGTTTTCTCCAGAAGAAAGACAGACATATCTCTTCTGCTTATCTTTGTAATTGTCTGAAGAATTTAACTTCTTTTAGAACAGCTTATTTATCTACCATGTGATGCTGACATTGTAACTTAGTATGATGGGAAAAAGTGGTTTACAATATCTTTGTAATTCTGATGAACTTTCCCTTATGACAGGAATATTAGGTTGGATTATTTATTTATATTCTTTGCTATCTTTTATGGAATATCTGTACAGTAAGATCACATTAAAGAATTTTAAGATCTTACCTCATAAATGTAAGCTAGTAGAATCAACTTTGTTGACACCAAATACATCCATTACTCTTTTGCAAAATTTCCATATTGTCTTAGATTAGACACTTAGAGATTAAAGTAAGGTGAGTATTGCCTTGTACATTGGTGTAAGAGAACTTATCTTTGGAAGTCTTTTCAGTTTTAAGATTTTACAACCTACCCACCTTGTATCAATCTTATTTGCTTATATTGCATCCTTTGAAAACTGTACAGTTTTTTAAATATTTTATTTATTCATGAGAGAGAGAGAGAGAAAGAGGCAGAGATACAGGCAGAGGGAGAAGCAGGCTCCATGCAGGGAGCCCGATGTGGGACTCAATCCCAGGTCTCCGGGATCACGCCCTGGGCCGAAGGCAGCACTAAACCACTGAGCCACCCGGGCTGCCCTACAGTTTTTTTTATGATAAAGACATAGTGCTGCTTTCTGACTTTAAAAAGTTTTAGATCTTATACATTTGGCTTTTCTGACCATATTTTTCTAATCTTTTATAGTATATAATTTTTAAATTCCTTTTACTAACATTTGGCAGAATTTATGTCTCCTTGCTTACAGAATAAAAATCTATATCAAATAAGTAAAAATGAAAATATATACCTTTTTAAACCAAATGTAGAGTTTAGTTTATTTATGATTATAAAGGCAGTAGAACTAAGTCATCATAAACATGTTTACATAAATTAAGCATGTTAGTGATTATAAAATTAATTTGATGCTCTTATTTCTGTTGAATAAATATACTATATATTGAATATAGTATATATATATACACTATATATATACTTTTATTTCTGTTGAATACTAATGCTTTTATTTCTGTTGAATACTATATATAGTATGCTATATATTGAATACTATATATTGAATATAGTGTATATATATATACACTATATATAGTATACTATATATTGAATACTATATATAGTATTCAACAGAATGTGTGTGTATGTGTATATATGTATATATGTGTATGTGTATATATGTATATATCCATACCTCCAAGTTGTACCTTATTTGTGGTTGAATAATATTTAATACTTATAATTTCTCTTCAGGTTGGGCATGTCAAGGGAGGAATCGATAAAGCTCACTTCTGGACCAAACAATGACGGAGCTGAAAGTTCGTGTGGAACCTCTGGCCTTCCAGGTCTTTCTACACAGACTCCCTTGGAAGAGCAACAGTCAAAAAGCATGAAAAGTCCAACTTCTCCAGAGCCTGATTTCTGTGATACACTTTGTCCTATGGTAGATATAGGTAAGGATGTAATGGCGGAATCAGAATCAGAAGATATCTTGATCCCTGAAGAATCCGTGATTCAGGAGGAAATTGCAGAAGAGGTAGAGACTAGTATCTGTGAATGTCAGGATGAAAATCATAAGACAATACCTGAATTTTCTGAAGAGTCTGAAAGTCCAGCCAACTCTCATGAAGAGCCCCAAGTTGCACCTCCTGAAGATAACTTGGAATCCTGTGTTATGATGAATGATGTTTTAGAAATATTGCCTCATATTGAAGTTAAGGTGGAAGAGAAATCAGAATCTCCCCAGGAAGAAATGTCAGTTGTTATCGATCAGCTAGAAGTCTGTGACTCTCTCATTCCTTGCACTTCATCTGTGACTCATGTCAGTGACACAGAACATAAGGAGTCAGAAGCTGCATTAGAGACCAATACTCCAAAAATAAAAACAGCGTCATCTTCTTTAGAAGGTCAGTTTCCCAGTGAAGGAATTGCTGTAGATATGGAGCTACAGAGTGACCCTGATGAACAGCTTTCTGAGAATGCTTGCATCTCTGAAACTTCGTTCTCTTCTGAGAGCCCAGAGGGAGCCTGTACCAGCCTGACATCCCCAGGAGGGGAAACCCAGTCCACCTCAGAGGAATCATGTACTCCAGCCTCCCTTGAGACAACATTTTGTTCTGAGGTGTCCAGCACTGAAAATGCAGACAAATATAATCAGAGAAATCCCCCCGAAGAAAACCTTCATGCATCTTTGATGTCAGAAATATCTCCAATATCCACTTCACCTGAAATATCAGAAGCATCTCTGATGTCCAATTTACCTTTAACATCTGAAGCATCCCCAGTATCAAATTTACCTTTAACATCAGAAACATCACCCATGTCTGATTTACCTTTGACATCAGAAACATCTTCAGTGTCTTCCATGCTTCTCACATCTGAGACTACTTTTATATCCAGTTTGCCACTTCCTTCAGAAACATCTCCAATTTCTAATTCTTCCATGAATGAGAGAATGATGCATCAGCAAAGAAAGTCCCCTTCCCTATCTGAAGAACCGGTCTCCCCACAGAAAGAGGAAGGCTCTGCTCCTGCCAAGCCCCTGGGAGAGAGCCTTCTCTCTCAACCGAAGACTCTATCAAATACTCCTGAACCCCTCAAAATGGGGTCCTCCATTGTTCCTGAAGCATTTCCATCTGAAGACTTGCACAATAAGACTCTGAATCAGCAGCCTTGTAAATCACATGTTGAAACTGAAAAGTCCTACCCTGCTTCGATTCCAGAACTTCCTTCTATAGAAATAATAAAGGTAAAAAATCATAATATCCTGCAAAGAACAGAAAAGAAAGGGGCATCTTCACCATTGGAGCTATCTGTCTTTTCTGAAGAAACAGAGAATAAGGGAAATGAGCTTCCATCAGCTAAGTTACAGGACAAGCAATATGTCTCCTCAGTGGATAAGGCTTCATTTTCAGAAGGCTCTAGAAATAAAACACATAAGCAGGGGAGTTCACAGAATCGGTTGGAGACCTCACATTCTTCCAAGTTATCAGAGCCCTCCAAATCACCCGATGGGATAAGAAATGAAAGTAGAGAATCCGAGATATCAAAAAGGAAAACTGCAGAGCAGCACAGTTTTGGAATCTGTAAGGAAAAGAGGGCTAGGATAGAAGATGATCAGTCTACCCGGAACCTGTCATCCAGCAGCCCACCTGAGAAAGAACAGCCTCCAAGAGAAGAGCCCAGAGTGCCACCTTTGAAGGTATGGAGTAATAATAATAACAATAAAGACAATTCCAGAGAAATAGGCTTTTCCTGTGTAGATGCTTAATTCTCAGAACTAAGTAAGGTTTTTGTCCCTCTAGGTTTTATGTAGTTTATGATCTAATACTCCCAGCACTAGTCTAATATTAAACAATCCTTTTTAAGGATCACTGAGCTCATATGATAATTTTAGATACATGTATATATTTAGACCTCAGCATTTAAGGAAAAAGAAATAGGGAGAACAGGGCCTGGAGGAACCTATAGGCCACGAGATAGTCTTTTGGGGACTCCAAGGTATAGGACAAAGAGGTACATGTACTTGGGGGAAGTTGATAATTTAGCCTCCTATAAAAGTTTAGTAGGATGAGGGAAAGTAGTCAAAAGTCAAAGGCATACACTAAGGAGGTAAAGGTACAGAATACTGGTTCATTTATTTTCCAGCAAATAATCACCACTACCATTGTCTAGCAGAAGGACCTGACTTATGGAAGAGCCTCATTAAATATTTCTTGAGTAAATCGATGAAATTACTTTGCATACCCTGAGGGAAAATACAATAGATATTTAGATATACAAATCCTATTTTTTGAGATAGTAAAGAGATATTTAACTTCACAAATAATAAAGCCTGTAGTCAAACATTCCCATTTATATATTCTCTTTTGATCCCAGGTAGTTTTTAACTCTCAGAAAACAAGCCTTTTATATAAATTGGCTGTGCCTAAGTAAACTGAAAATTAGGATTAATTCAAAAGAAACACTGTTTAACAACAACAAAAAATCCTACCCAATATAAGCTATATTTATTTGGTGCTTTCATCTCAGTCCATTTATATTGTTCTACAATAAAGTGGATTATTCCACCATAGGTTTGGTTTAGAATTAAAAACATATTCAAGCTTTGTTTCTCTTAGTCTCTTTATTTTACTCTGACCTGACATCTATTTTTTGTATGTGTCTCATGATATCCATAAGGCTGACTTTTAAAAGTGTAGCTGTAGTTATTTTACTTAATGAAGTAACCCCTATTAAATAAAATTCTAGAGATATGGAAGATGAACATTAAACTCCAATTAAAATCCCACTATGCATTTTAATTTCTGAAGCAGTGGAAAGAAAAATGTAAGTGCTTTTCATAGGAAATATTTTTGAACATGGCAGTCTGATTTTTCTTGTCAAAAGCTTGTTTTCAACGTAATACACACTTTACGATAGATGGATACCATAAGTACATTCGGTGTTTGGCCTTGCATTCTTGTTTAAGTATATCTAGGTATAATTTTTAAAATGTTTTTAGTTTTTTTTAACTAAAGAAAATATTTAACAGGAAAAATTGATTCTCCTCTCTAAATTCATTTTTCTATTGGAACCTTTGGATTAGAAGAGAGACATTACAGGTTGGAAAATGAGAAATGAGATAGCAAAGACAGATCATTTCATCCACCAAAGTTCCAAAGCATAATTTCAGATTGATATGATCCTACATCATGTGTTAAATGTTGTTTATAGTGTAAATATATGTATGTTAAGAAGAGAGATGTTTTCTAGGAAAAGCTTTTTTTAGAAGGAGAAAAACGAAGGAATCATAGTACCAGTCAACAGCCCTGAACAGGGAACCCAAAGATTCTCTCTGTCAATCCCTAGTTCTGTGACTCCAGGGCAGCCTATTTTCCCTCCAAGAGTTTTTTCAGCTGTAAAATGAGGGGCTTTGATTAGATCCCTTTCAGCTCTCCAAATCTATGACTCTAAGAGTGTTTTAGTGACCAGCACATCACAGGCATTGCTATGGGATGTTGGTGTTGGGTCTTGTGCCTCATGAGTTTGGTGATGACTGTGAGTCTCCTAATTAGCATGAGTAGATGAACAGTGTGACTTTATGAAATTCAGCAAATTGTAGATTACCAGTATCCGAAGGAACTGCCTAAGCTCCGTAGTTGCTTTTAGAGGCAGAAAACCAGAGTTACCCTTGCTTTCATGGAAAGATAACGATATCAGATCCCTTTGGAAAGCAGAGCACTCTTACAATATAGTCCCATTCCATCTTTATAGCAGCCCTATGAAGGAAATAGACCAGAAATAACTAGTCTCATTTTACAGGTGAGTTTACAAACTCTTATTGTGCACTTATTGTGCATGTAGGAGCCAGCGTGCTGGGTGGTATGGGAGTACATAAAAACTATAGAGTCTCTGGCTCGAGGAGGTCATTGGAGAAATCGAACTGCATGGTGATCCCTGAAATCACAGAGTTTCTTTGAGTGAAGGCAGGACGAGAATTCTAATCCCCTGACCTCTTGGCTAAGGTTTTTCTCTTTGTGTCAAATTAAGAGATAAACTCATATAGAGTTAAGGTCCCAGTTTTCCCTGCCAGGAAGGAAGATAATTTAAAAGCTAAATATCTCTAAGCCTTTTTTAGCTAACCTCATTTTAAGAAGCATGGATTTTGTTTCCATTTATATGAGGCATTAAGAAGATGTTTCATTTCCATACCAAATGAAGTCACCGGTTGATGTTTCTGTAGATGAAAAACAGAGATTGAAAATTTTAATTTCACATTCATGCCACATTTATTGTCGCTTTATCCCCTAAAGGCCCATTCGGGGATTTAGGTGTCGTTCCTGCCACATTATGAGAGAATGCAGCACATCTTCTCTCTCACATTATCGCATTCCACCTGCCTCCTCTGTGATCATGTACCATGAGCTTTCTCTTTCCATTCTCCCCTTCTTCCTGTAGATCCAGCTTTCCAAAATTGGGCCACCTTTCATTATCAAGAGCCAGCCAGTCTCCAAACCAGAGTCTCGCACATCCCCCAGCACGTCGGTCAGCAGTGGGAGGAATACAGGAGCCAGGACACTTGCAGATATCAAGGCCCGGGCCCAGCAAGCAAGGGCCCAGCGAGAGGCAGCCGCAGCAGCTGCGGTAGCTGCCGCGGCGAGCATCGTCTCAGGAGCCATGGGGAGCCCAGGAGAGGGTGGAAAGGCAAGAACCCTGGCACACATCAAAGAGCAGACAAAGGCAAAGCTCTTTGCAAAGCATCAAGCTCGGGCCCACCTCTTCCAGAACACTAAAGAGTCCCGGTTGCCTCCGCTCAGCTCAAAGGAAGGGCCCCCAAGCTTAGAAGTCTCTTCTGCTCCTGAAACAAAAATTGAAGGGTCAACTGGTGTGATTATTGTCAATCCAAACTGCAGATCTCCTAGCAACAAGTCTGCACACCTCCGGGAGACCACCACTGTATTACAGCAGTCTCTTAACCCAGCTAAACTTCCAGAAACTGCCACTGATTTATCTGTGCATAGTTCTGATGAAAACATACCCGTGTCACACTTACCTGAGAAAATTGTTTCATCTACCTCTTCTGAAAATAGCAGTGTGCCCATGCTTTTTAATAAAAATTCTGTCCCTGTGTCTGTTTGCAGCACTGCTATGTCGGGAGCAATTAAAGAACATCCCTTTGTGAGTTCTGTTGATAAATCCTCTGTTCTAATGTCTGTTGACAGTGCAAACACTACAATTTCTGCCTGTAACATAAGCATGTTAAAAACCATCCAGGGAACTGACACTCCATGCATAGCCATTATACCAAAATGTATCGAAAGCGCTCCTGTCCCCGTCACAGCAGAGGGCTGCAGTGTCTCGAGCCCCATGGATGACAAGCCGTTGCTCCTGCCCAGCAGCAGTGCAGGTCACTTAATCCCCAGTCAGTACAACTCTGCGCCAACTCCCTCCATTGGAAAGAACTTGCCAAACCATCTCTCCACGAGCTCTGTCTTGATCCCCCCAACGGGAATTAACAGCCGGTTTCCCTCTGAGAAGATAGCCATGCCTGGGAGTGAAGAACAGGCCACCGGGCCCGTGGGCACCACTGTGAGAGCCGCCCTCGGCTGTAGGGAGTCAGGGGCAGTCACAGACCCTCTGGCTGCGCGACCACCTGTCGCAATGTTTACTGGAAGCATGCTGACGATAAACTCTTATGAGAGTCCTCCCAAATTAAGTGCTGAAAGCTCGGACAAAAATTCAGGGCCTCGAAACAGGGCAGACAATTCTGGGAAACCTCAGCCACCTGCGGGGGGCTTTGCACCAGCAGCCATAAACAGATCGATTCCGTGTAAAGTCATCGTTGACCACAGCACCACGCTGACCTCCACGTTGTCTCTAACCGTCTCCATCGAGAGCGCAGAAGCCAGCTTGGACCTCCCGAGCAGGTCAGTGAGGACAGAAGCCTCCATACAGCCCATGGTGTGTCCCCAGGTATCTGTTATCAGCAGGCCGGAGCCCGTGGCCAGCGACGCCGTCGATCACAGTTCTAGTTTCATCGCTGCTTCTGCAGCAAAGCAAGAGTGTAATAATAAAGCGATGCAGGCCGCCGGTTCCAGTCTCCGAGAGGGACCCCTTGTCGTTCCAGATAAACTAAACGAGGTGACCACTCCGAGTAACTGCTTTGCCGAGCAGGCTCGTGGCCCGACTGCTTTCAAGAGTGAAGCGGACACAACCTGTAGCAATCCGTATAACCCGGGCAACCGGATTTGCTGGAATGACGAGGGGATGAGGAGCACAGGGCAGCCTCTGGTCAGTCACTCCGCTCCCAGTAAACAGAAAGAATTTCTGGAGCAGAGTGGTCCGAAGGCCATCAAAACCGAGCACGCCGGCTACTCCCACATGTCAGAACTTCACCCCAGGAACCTCCTAACGAACGTCACTCTCCCGGTGAAGTCTGAACCTCACGAGGTGGACAAGGGCTTTAGAATGGACACAGAAGACTTCCCTGGCCCCGAGCTGCCGCCTCCGGCCGCGGAGGGCGCCCCCGGCGTGCAGCAGGCCCAGAGCGTGAAGGCTCCCACCCCTGGCGCCGTGGACGAGCCCATTTCCTTGGCCCCAGACCCCCTGAAGCGAGTCCCCAGTGCGGGGAGCTCCGGCTGCCGGCTGTCGTCCGTGGAGGCCAACAATCCACTCGTGACGCAGTTACTCCAGGGCAACCTGCCTTTGGAAAAAGTGTTGCCTCAGCCCAGGTTGGGAGCCAGGCTCGAAATTAACAGGCTTCCTCTGCCTCTTCAAACTACCTCAGCGGGGAAGACAGCAGCAGAGAGGAACGTTGTGGAGATGCCGTCCAGCTCCCCCAATCCGGACGGGAAGGGCTACCTGGCCGGGACCCTTGCACCACTACAGATGAGGAAGCGAGAAAACCACCCCAAAAAGAGAGTAGCCAGGACTGTGGGGGAACACACTCAAGTTAAATGCGAGCCAGGGAAATTGTTGGTGGAGCCAGATGTCAAAGGGGTGCCTTGTGTCATCAACTCGGGCGTGAATCAGCTAGGACACAGCCAGCCGTTTAAGCAGGAGTGGCTGAGCAAGCACTCCATGCAGAACCGAATTGTTCACAGCCCCGAGGTCAAACAGCAAAAGCGGCTGCTCCCCTCGTGTAGCTTCCAGCAGAACCTGTTTCACGTCGACAAGAATGGCAGCTTCCACCCCGATGCTGGTACCTCACACAGACAGCAGTTTTACCAAATGCCCGTGGCTGCCAGGGGCCCCATCCCAAGTGCAGCTCTGTTACAGGCCTCTGCCAAGCCCCCGGTGGGCTGTGGTGCGTTTGCCTTCAATAGGCATCTGGAACAGAAGGGGTTGGGAGAGGTGAGCCTTTCCTCCGCACCTCACCAGCTAAGGTTAGCCAACATGTTATCTCCCAACATGGCCATGAAAGAAGGTGATGACGTGGGAGGGGCCGCACACGCCATGCCAAACAAAGCACTGGTGCATCCCCCGCCCCCACCCCCTCCGCCCCCTCCGCCCTTGGCCTTGCCCCCACCTCCCCCACCGCCACCTCCGCTACCTCCACCTATTCCTAATGCAGAAGTCCCATCCGATCAAAAGCAACCACCAGTTACCATGGAAACCACTAAGAGACTTAGTTGGCCACAGTCCACGGGCATATGTAGCAATATAAAATCGGAACCTCTTTCTTTTGAGGAAGGTTTAAGCAGCAGCTGTGAACTGGGCATGAAACAAGTTTCCTATGACCAGAATGAAATGAAAGAACAGTTAAAAGCATTTGCGTTAAAAAATGCAGATTTCTCTTCCTATTTGCTTTCTGAGCCACAAAAGCCTTTTACCCAATTAGCTGCTCAGAAAATGCAGGTGCAGCAACAACAGCAGCTCTGTGGAAATTATCCAACAATACACTTTGGTAGCACGAGCTTCAAAAGGGCAGCATCTGCAATTGAAAAGTCCATTGGGATTTTGGGAAGCGGCTCCAGCCCTGCCACGGGCCTGCCCGGTCAGAACGCTCAGATGCCCGTTCAGAACTTTGCCGACAGCAGCAATGCGGACCAGTTGGAACTGAAATGCTCTTGCCGGCTGAAAGCCATGATTGTGTGCAAAGGCTGCGGGGCCTTCTGCCATGACGACTGCATAGGTCCCTCCAAACTCTGTGTAGCTTGCCTGGTTGTGCGGTAAGAGCCGAGGAAAGATGCAGTATCCCTTTTCAACACGGAAAAGCCAAACGGCGTCAGCAGCAACAAATTGAATAACTCAGTGGTTAATATCGTGCTAATTTATTTTACTTTGGAACAGATTCTCTTCTCTCTCTGGGATTCTTTACTTGCATTTCCCAGAAAGGGGAGATGGTGTCCCAACCAAGTGGCTCAGCAGCATGTCTTTTACATATTAAGTTGCCATTCCCAGCTCTGGAAAATTTCTGTCCGAGTGTATACAGGTCACTGCCCCATTTGTTTTTTTTTTTTCTTTTTTAAATCCAGATGTAGATAGGAAAAGGACATTTTTAATTACTTAATGCTAACCAGAAATGCAGATGTAGAAGGAGGATGGTACAAGTGACTTAAAGTGGTTGGTTATTCATTCTTCTGTAGATTAACCATTACAACAAGGGTTTTCACAGTTGACTCTTCTGGACCTACCTTGACCACAGTGATTAAATCATATTTGGAAAGGGGAATCTGATTTAAGTGTATGATTCCTTGTATTTGCTCATATCACAAAAGATACATTAAAGGAGGTATGCCATTAATGAACTCCACTGTCCTTCTTCTCTTCCCTCCCTTTTTACTCTTTTCAGAGACTGGCAGCATTTCTGGATCTGCCTTGGACATTGCGCACACATTGTAGTGAAATGTGTCTTATACCTGAAATTGCAGTGTGGGCCCTATGCCCAGTAATCTGGTTTGAGCCCTTTGACACCTGATACTGTAGGATCAGTTGACCAACAGAGGCCCAGAGGATTTCAGAGCATCGTGTGTAGCTTTTAAGAGCAAGTATGAAAAAATGCCCTTAAGTTCAAAGAGTAAGCAAGTAAAATGCTGTGTATGCAAACACATAGAAGTGGGTTGATAATGTAAATATCAGTCCATTCTGTTCACTCCAGTACAGCTACTAGATATTAAAACTGGGGGGAAAATAATCGTACCCTTTATTAATGACACCAGTACATCTGGCTTCTGACTCCGCAGAGGTTGGCCACCTCTCAAAGTGTCAATGACGATGAAAGGAACTACAGAAGGCTGAAGTGACGATACGTTTCTGAACAATTTTTCTCTTATGATTCACAATCTACATAATTATACTTGACTCTGAAATAGCCTTTGTTTTAAAAGTTGTTCTAGGTACTGCATGTTTTGTTTTCTTTCGCACCCCCCCCCCTCAGGTGAATTCAGTACATTCTTCGTATTTGGGGGAGTGGAACTGCTTTTGAAAACGGGATACTGCATCTTACAAATACCGTCAGTGTTTATCCAGTAAAGTCTGAGTGTTGAGTATTTGAGCTACGTTCCTCATACTTTGACCACCCTCATGCCAGAGAACAGCTGTAGTTCAGGAGGCTCTGTTCCCTAAAGCAAGTTCAAAAGCACATGCACATTGTGGGAAAGATGAAAGACAACAAAGCCACGCCCATTTAACTTCAGATTGCAGAGCACAAAATATGGAGTGCCATTAATTCATTGCTTGACCATGGCTGTAGGATTTAAAAAATGAAACAAATCATGGGGTGGGGGGTATCCTCTGTATCCAGGGTAAAAGTGACAGACATTTTCATATCAATGTAAACTTTTGACATTCCCTTAAAACATGTCTTAAAACTTAACTGGAATAAACAGAGATTACATTCCTGGAGGGAGAAAAAAAAAAAAAAACACTTGTGATTTTTTAATAGGAATCAACCATGGTACATGTTTGTTTTTTTTCTCCTCCATATTTATTATTGTGATGTTGCCAAATTTTGTTAGGTGATACAGATGTCACTTTCATTAATAAGTTGCCGATAGCGAAAGATACTTAGAAAAGCAAAGAAGGGTTGAAGGGTCTGCCTCTGTGGCTGAGCTGCCATGCTTCCTTCCGGACCGTCACTTCTGTTTTTTACATTGAAATTAACAAAGTGAACGACTGAGAAAGTGAGCAGTGCACTAACCAGCCCCTCCCGAGGAAGGCGGCGCAAGTTGCAGTGGACCCTTAGTTCCCCTGCGCCAGGCTGTGTTTGGGCGGCATCCTCTCGGTGGTTGGCTTGGCTGCAATACCATCCTAGTTCAGAAGAGCACGCTCTAGTCTCACAGAAGGGAGCCCGTAAAATGTAGACCCTTGCATGCCAACTCCTTCCGAATGCAGTTGCCGCTCTACCAGTGTCAGGTACTGGCCACACCAGCAGATTCAAAGATCACTACATCAGTAACTGGCACCGTGTTGAAGAAACCCTGGTCTACAAAGCTTTGCACTCTGTATATGAGGTCCGGTTGAGGCAGAAGTGATACTGAGCTCACTGTCGGTTCCATCATTGTGGGATACTGCCTGCAAGGTACTGGGAATAAAGAAAAAAGTGTCCTTCTGTATGTTTTGATTTTTCACAAAATAGGTGATATTTCACATGATTTTGGTGAATCGATTGTTGATGGTGCATGGATTCTATCACCCAGGTCCAAAGAGGATAATTCTTCTGTGCCCTTTCTCTCTTTTGCCCCAGCTCAAATTCCTAATATTCGCATATGGTTTATATTAGTGAAAAAATTAGTATCTTTGGGCTAAAAAATAATGGAAAGAAAAATTCAGAAGTAAAATGTGGGTCAGATATTTTACAAGTGTCCACTTAATATACATATACGAAAACCAGTATATTCGGATTAGGTAAGTAGGTTCTTAGCTTCCTGATTTCCACAGGTGTCTGCCTATGTGCAAATGTAGTATGTTATTTACTACATGGTTATTGTGGTGTAATGTGCAAATGTTAGTGTGTGCATTATCCTGATCATTGGACACTCTGATATCCCTATCAGGAATAGAACTTGCACATGTAACATGTAATTTTTTTTTTCTTTATCACAAAGGATGTATTTCCCTAAGTAGCACTTTTGGAGCAGGGGAAAGCAGAGAACTGCTACTCCCTCATCCCCCTCCTCTATGATATGCATATGCCTGAAGTGTATAAAGACATTTAGGTAGTTAATGGGCATGTTAATAAGAACGTTCTGATGCAAATTCATTTTCAAAATGAAAATAGTTTTCCTTCCCCAAAGTGAGAGTAGCAGAAATGTTGGTGAACTGAGCACCATAGTTATATATAATATTTCTCTACTAAGGTCTAGTTTGAAGAAAAAAACTTGAAAACAAACCTATGAGGTTGAGCCTGGTTGCTATAAAGACTTTATGGTGGTACATGTTTCTAGGATGAGCTGTAGAGCAGGTTTAGGTGACTTCTAGACCTTGGATGTTCTAAGTCGTTCAGAATAAACCTACAAAACCCAACAAGCTGGTGCACATGGTGCTTCATAACGCAGCCAAGATTAAGAATACATGATGTTGCAGCCCCATTTTAAACACTCGCACAGTTTCGCGAGAGGAAGTTACTGTGGCCTTGGTTTCCCGGTTCCTGCTTGGTCTGGTGAGGTTCCAGGTCACAGAAGCTGAAGCCAAGCTTAGGGTTGCATCGTCTCTCTGGTGTGGAGGCCAGCACCGCACTAGCTGCCTGGTGGGAATGAGCCCGCGGAGCATGCAGAGCCCAGAGTCACTGTCTTTCTGTGTTTCTAGAGAACAATGTGAAGAGTCCTAGAAAAGGAACTCGTCAGACTGTCAGGGGCCTATGTAGCCAAAATGTCACTGAATATAAAAATCTTGTCTTCAGTCCTCATGCTTTGTCACTGTAAAGCAAACAAAAAGCATTTTTACTATAATTTAAAGGAGCTGCTTTTTTATAGCACATACTATTTCGCTTTGTACTATATTTGATAGTTGCAGAATAATTTAGACTGTAGAAAAACTTTGTTGTATTTGTACTGTTCATGAATGTTTCCAAAAAAGTGCTTTACTTGGTTGCCATAATTTTCTTGTACTGCTGTATTTTTCCCCCTGCTTCCTAGAAACCTAATCTGATTCATATTTTTAGTACAGTTTTGTTTTGTTTTTTTAATGTGTGTGTGTGTACTTTTTTTTGGGGTCAGTATTCTGAATGTTTACATCTGTTTGACATTAGCCATTTAATGCCTTTAAAAAAAAAAAAGGCGGTATTACTCCTACAGTGTAACAGCAAAATGTGAAATCAACCCAAACATAACATGCATGACAAACACAGATTGGGGGCGAAGGCCCTGAACATACAGACATTTTATATCAGCATACAGAAAAGTAAAACCCTCCTTCAGTCCTCTACCAAAGAATATATTATTCCCACAGGAAAAACTCACGAAAGGTGTGTAAAATCCTCAGAAGGGGGAGCAGTTGATTCAGTAAGACTGCTACAATTTAATACTGTTATGCTTGCTTTGATACCTGACTAAATGTGACTCAGTGCAACGAGCATTTAAACAATTTTTAGACAGTGTTTTGTTTAGAATTCAGGGATCATGCATTCTTTAATGGTGCTGTTTGTTTTTTATTTCTTTTCTACAAAGAAGAAAAGTGTTGCCTACAAAAGTGACTGCTCACAATACCATAAGTTAAATGAAATGTTTGTCTCTTCATGTTTCTCTGTTTTTTTCCCTTTCTCAAAGTAACAATTTGGGTTTCAATATTAAAATATTCTGGAGAAAATAAAGAAATTAAACATTAAATAATTGTCATTTTTAATTTTTTATGAAATGAGGTAGTTACATAAAATGTGTTAAATACATCAAAAATTTTACTTAAAAAATTTTAGGGAGAAAAGAATCACATACTGTTGAATTATCGACCCTTTCCAGTTTGGTGACTTGTCAACACACAATTTAACTGTTAAAACTGAAAACCTATTTGAAATTAACCATATCTACTGTGCTTATTATCATTTAAAAAGTATATCTGGAACTTGCTTTCATAAAGATCTTGTTTAATTTTTAAGTCAAAAGACATTCGGGTCAAATTGTTAACTACCATAATTTAACTCTACAAATGAATTCCAAAATTTTTTTTTAATAGAATCGATTAGGTTAATTTTTTTTTATCTTGCATTAAACATTACAGCTAGAGTTATTTGAAGAAAGCGCTGTGTGCCATTGGAACAAAATTGCCTCAGTTATGTTTACATTGGTTAAAAACGCATATTTTTACATTAAGATGAATCAGAAAGCATTAAACAATTGGGTAAATCGTAGCTCAGCTGTTTTCCTCTATAATGCTGACTTTGGCCACCAGATGGCGAAAGAGGATGTTTACATTTGGAGGGGCGAAAGAAAAGAACAAAATAAAAGGGCTTCCTCCAAAAACTGAATTAAATGCTTATAATAAAGTCCAACTTACCCAAATGAGTCAATGGAAAACTGATACTTATAAGTGTCATTAAGCTATTTTCACTACAATGATAGCATTCCTTTTTTGTCCTATTTTTTCTATTAAAATATTATGAAATGCTTTCTTAATTTTATTTAACATGGAATTTTTTTTTTGTTTTCATTGCATTATTTCACAGACATCCTTTATTCTAAAATTCACTAGAGAGGGGCAGCCCAGCGGTTTAGCGCCGCCTTCAGCCCAGGACCTGATTCTGGAGACTGGGGATCGAGTCCCGCGTCAGGCTCCCTGCGTGGAGCCTGCTTCTCCCTCTGCCTGTGTCTCTGCCTCTCTCTCTGTGTGTGTGTCTCTCGTGAATAAATAATAAAATCTTTTAAAAAATAAAAACTTTCACTAGAGAAAGTTGAACAGTCCAGCATTTTTTAAGCCAATGTTTTTTGAAACCAATCTGAATGCTTTGTTTTAATTCCTATATTC